AAAAAAAAAAAAAAAAAAAAAAGAATCACCAAATGAAGATGAGCTCCAAGATCCCCAGGCAAGTTCAGAAGTACGAAGTATAGGCAGTAAAGGACTACGGAAACCCCTGGGGAGCCCGCAGAAGTGCTAAGAGGAACACCCACTGCGGAGAGAGCGGCTCCTGCCTGTTTTCTCTCTCAGTTTTGTAGTCTTGAGCCTCACTGGTGGCTGTTTAGCACCACAGCGAGCTAACTCCTTGCCGCACCCCTCCCCACCTTGTGCTACACACAGCCGGTAACTGTGCCTGTCCCCGCCCAGGCAAACTGCTGCGTTTATGCCCTTCCGTCTCTCTGCATGTCCTCCCCCACCATCCAGGTTTGCTCCTCAGTAACAGATTCTCAGCAGAATCTGTCCCTGTGCCTCCCCAGGTTTCCGTCCTGTTGACCAGCAAATTCCTCACAGTCCAGACAGCTCCCAGAGGAAGAGACCCTTGGTCAATCATCCTCCTGACCTCAGACAGGAGGCAGTTTCCAAACAGCTGACCTTGAGTTGGAAAGCCCGCTGAGCACGCTGAGCCCTGTCCCAGCCCTGACAACGTCCATGTGGTGGTCCTGGGGACCTGGGCACTGGCAGGTTTATTTCAAGGAGACCGTGTGTCCTCCATTTGCATATAAAGGGGAGAAGAGGAAGGTCACTGTGGCTATTCCCTCTCTTTTTGTTGTTGTTTCTTTTTTGATTCTTAATTTTGTTTTCCTTTTTGGTGCTTTTTGTTGCTGTGGCAAGCTGCTTTTGTTTTTAGTTTTTTATTTGGTCAGGTTTTTTTGTTTTGATTTTTGTGTTGTTATTTATTTTTAATATTTATTTACTCATTTATTTTTGGTTTTTCGAGACAGGATTTCTCTGTGTAACAGCCCTAGCTAGCCTAGAACTTGCTCTGTAGACCAGGCTGGCCTCAAACTCACAGAGATCCACCTGCCTCTGCCTCCTGAGTGCTGGGATTAAAAGCATATCACACACACACACACACACACACACACAAAGCATGTGCCACCACCTCCTGGCTGTTTACCTTTTTATATAATATAGGCAGGCTCTCTCTATACACCCCTTGCTTACCTTAAACTCGTTATGTAGATCAGTTTGATCTCGAACTTGCAAATGATCCCCCTGCCTCTGCTTACCCCGCTCTGAGACTAGACTCGGCACCACTATGGTAGGATGTTTTTGGCTTTTGTTTCTAGCATTGAAATAGGACTTTCTGTGGACTCCATCCCTCACATTATGAATGAAGAAGGAACTGAGACCTACAGGTACACAGTGAGTGCTAAAACTGCATTTCCCAGGGTTCCCTTCACCTTAAGGGTCTGGTCAAGGCAGGTATGGGAGACCTGGAAAGTGGAAGTGGAACACAACCTTGTGCTCTCAGTCTACAAGGCTCAGGTGAGGCCACCCTGCTCCCGCGAGTGTAGCCCGAATGCCGGCTTACCCGTGAGCGGACCCTCCTGGATGTCCCCTCCTCTGGCCTCTCCAAACTGGGAGCCAGGTGGGTATGCAGTTCCAGGGTGAAGCAGCCAGTTCTTCTATGTATTGTCTTACCATCTGTTGGGGCACAGGGGCAGCGGAAGGCTGACGAGAGGCCCTCTTGCATCTGCCATGGGTTCCGACAGGTCTACTTTCCTCTAGCGCCTTCTCGGCAAGATAGAGTTCAAGTGTGTTTGTACCTCTCCTCTCTGCCGTCATCACTCACAGACCATCAGCCCTGCTATCTCCAGGCCCAGACTTCCATCCACCTACAGAAGCCCTAGCAGGAAGGCCTGAGACCTCCATCTAGGGGAATCACAGCTGACACAGCGAGCTGGCTGCAGAACTGGTAGCCTGGGATTCCTGTTCCCCTGACTGACGGCACTATGCTGGAGCCAGACAGGCAGCTGGAACCCCAAATCCCAGGCGCCTCTCAATGAGGTCACGCCTTTATCAAGAGGTGGCTCTCAGATCTACTTCTGCAAGCTGTTGGTTGAGGGAAACATATCTGGCTCTTCCCCAGACCGTGAACATTGTCCCCAGCAGGCTCCAGGGACACTTGCATCTGCCTGCTCCACATACTCTTAGGGGACTACAAGGCAGGCCCCTTGTCTGGGATCCATATTTCCAGGGGACAAGCCTATATTTTTCCCGGTCCCTAGGCCCTTAACCTTGGAGCTGCCTCATATGCGTACCGTACAGAGGACTCTATTAATCAGACGGTAAAGATGTCACAACACCAGCTCAGGCCATTGCCCACACAAGTCCCAAGCCAGCCCTTCCTCACAGTCACTGGCACTCCCAAGCTGAGCTATGACTTATTGCTGCTAGCCAGGGCCAGCAGCCCTGCCAGCTACAGCAGTAAGGGGTCCCACACATGGAGGTCTGGACAGGGTTCTCAGGGCCTGCTTGCCCCTTCCCCTCACTCACTTTCCTCCCTGCAGAAGGCTCCAGGGAGTTCCCGAAGTCCCTTCTGAGAAAAAGGCACCAGTGAGGCTGTGGAAACAAATGGCTCTGGGTTCAAGTTTCTTGGTCACCACCCACTGGCTCTGTGACCACGAAGGAGCTTCATGCCCTCTCCGAGCTTTAGGCACTGTGGTTTGAATGAAAATGGCCACCACAGGCCCATAGGGAGTAGCACTATTAGGAGGTATGGCCTTGTTGAGGTAATTGTGGCCTTGCTGGAAGAAGAGTGTCACTTGAGGAGGGCTTTGGGGTCTCATATGCGCAAACCAAGGCCGAGTGTCTCACTCTCTCCTCCTGCCGCATGTGGATCCGAATGCAGAACTCGCAGCTACCTCTCCAGCGCCATGTCTGTCTGCACACTGCCATGCTTCCCACCATGACAATAATGGAGCAAATCTCAGCTGAATGTTTTCCTTTATAAGAGTTGCTGTGGTCATGGCGTTGATTCACAGCAATAGAGCCCTAACTAAGACAGACACACCTCAACTCTAAAGTGAGGATATTAATATTAACCCAATAGGTACACTGTGAAGATTCAGAAAAGTGTCCTGTATGAAGGGCAAAGTCCAGAGTCTGACACACTATAATGTGCCTTTTAAATGGAAGCCATTATTCTTGTCATCAATATCGCTATTGAGATTTTTTTTTAAAAAAATCATTATGGCCACTAACCTATGTGCTCCATATGGGCAGGGACTGTATCTGACTTGTTCTCGCTACTGCCCAGATAGGTGTTTAGCATATGACAACATTCAATGCCTACTTGTTAAACGAATGAATAAGTGTTTAACGGCTGGGTTAGGGAGATGGCTCAGCAGGTAAAGTGTTGCTGTACAAGCATGAGAACCTGAGTCTAGATCCCCAGCCTCTGTGTAAAACCCTTCACAATAGCACGTGCCTGTAGCCGAGGCACAGGGAGACACAGACAGGAGGGTCCTAGGAGCTTGCTGGCCAGTCAGCCTCGCCCAGCA